TTTTTTATGTCTTAGCTTGCTCAGATTTTGTTCATGGATTGCTCCTGACGCCCAGCTCTTCTTGTAGCTTCCCACTGAAATCCCCCCAGTTTCATCACACTGTTCTCAAGATGCAGCGCTCCAAGCTGAGCATAGCTAAGCCCGAGCGTAGCTAAGGCTTTGTATCCTGTAGGAGAGTTAACTCCCTGTTTTACAGGCTGCTCTCTTGTCCATATGTCCCATGCACGCTGCCCAGAGCTCTGTGCTCACTGCACCTGCCTACACAGTGACAAAACCTCTCAATTTCGCCTCCAAACTAAGGACAAGTAGCAGCTCATGCCCTAGTGCCAGAGCACATCTGCTCTGCTCCCTGTTGTGCAAGGCAGGATTATCCAATTTTAGCATGAGTTGCATCACGTCAGCAAAGACAACAGCGCTGACTCCATACAGGCAACTCGGCTCTAACCAAGTTCACTAGCCTGCACAGGGCCCCACGGGGCTGCAGTGAAGTCTCTGGCACAATTACGCAAGTCAGTTTGGGATGAACGGGGCTTATTAGCTCAGACTCAACACTGGCTTGTGCTCAAGTCAGATCTTTGTGGAGACATTTCATTGCGTCTGAGCAACCAGCTCCAGAACTTATCAGACTGAGTACTGCTAGACAGGCTCACATTATTTCTGATACACAGGACACTAGCCCAGATATGAAGCAACCATACCACTGGGAGGGTTCATTGCACACAGTATCTGACCTACTCATTATTGTGGATAATGGCAGCCCCATACAGAAAATTCAGCCACATCCATCAAAAATCAAACTCTGACCCAAAGGAGCCTCTGGAGGAAAATTTCACAGTATAGTATTTTAATGCTACTTAAATGAATTTCATCCTATCATCTCCTCAAATGCATGCAGATTAAAAACAAACCATAGGACACAAAGTGTTTCTCACCACAAATACTGGTCCATTTACTCAAGTCACATTATTATATGCTGATCACTATCAACAGCATGGCCGATGGGGCTGCTACTATTCTTAAAGTAGTGTTCCAGGAACACTAGGAGGTGCAGAAAGATCCCAGCATGTGTGGATAGGAAAGGAGGAGAAAATTAAAGTGGCAGTTTCCTAGATTTGTAGTGATTGAGTTGACAGAATTTGCGGTTAAGCAACCTTGACTCCAAGTTAATAGGGTTTCTGATTGGAAGGTAATTTCCAAGGGTTTTTAGGCCTATGTATCAGTACTGATAATCATTTACATGAATAGTGATAATGTATTATCCTTCTCACGTCTTCCCGCCAAGCTTTTATGTATCTTCTACCTCACCTTATCCACCTTACTGGTTCCCAGCACAGCTGCATTCAACACTTTCCTTTTTAAGAAAGGGTTGATTTACAAATGTTTTCTCTGCCAGAACTGCTGAACACTTAGCCATCAAAACACTGAAAATTCAAGCAACACATGACAAGCAGAACTGCGAAATTAAGTTCAGCCACTATAATACACATTGCAGAAGGATGCCTGGCTTTCTCTAGCTCAGGCATCAGTGCAGAACTCCCTCCAGAGCTACTAGGGATCACCCAACATCACTGCAACATCAGTGACGCAGGTGGTTACAAAATGGAAAGGCATTGAGGAGAAGGAAAGGCACCCAGGACCTACCTCGCTGGCCGAGACTGGCAACCGGTCAATGCCCCTGTTGACAGACTCCCAGGACCTGGCAGTGAGCATGCAGGCAAAGAGAGGATACAAATCCCCTGCCCCAAGGCGTCGGCTGTACTTCTCCACTCTCTTCATGTCAGCCTTGATGAGGGCCTGCCAAAGGCGGCAGTAGTCCATGCGGAATGACTCGCTCAGCACCTGGCAAGGGAGAAGCAGACCTGGGAAGTTCATGAAGGACAAGGGACCAAGGTAGAAAGCCCCGTGCCCCAAAGCTGCTGCATGCACCCTGTTTTGCAGTCAGGAAATTACCTAGGAGGCTGATGGGAGCAATAGGAAAAAAATCATTTGTACAGTCTTCAAGAGACAAAGCAGACTGATATCACAGGCAGCCCCACAAGCCCTGGAAACCCTCCCCATAATCACATACCTGGTAGAGACCATGGTCCAGGAGGATAATATGGGCCTTGCCAGAGGCTGGGCATTTCTTCACCAGCACATTGCCTGGGTGCGGGTCGCAGTGGACAAAACCATTCACAAAGATCATCTCACTGTAGAGCTTCCCCAGATTGCGAGAGATCTGTGAGGAGGTAGAAGCCTGTCACACACTGCTACCCAGAGCGGGGCACCTACGAGGCAGGGGAGGCAGGACCCGCACGTCGATACCGGGGGGAGCGAGGGGCCAGCACATGCCAACAGTCCCAGCCATGGTTCTTGCAGCCTCGCACACTGACAAACACAGGAGGTAGCTGCTGACATCTAGCACAGCTGAGGTAGCTGCTAGCATCCACCACAGCCTCCTTCAGGACGTTCAGGGAGGGCCTGTGTAGGGGGTATAAAGATGTTTATAGGGTCAGAGGGTATTTCAGAACATTTGCCTGGCATATGAAGGAGAAAATCTCTATGGGGAAGAATAGTGGTGCCTGAGAGTGAGGAGAAAAATGAGGGGAAAGGAGGAGCATTCTTGGAGCAGGTATGGAGAGTCTCTGCATGGGCAGGTTGGAGCAGAGAGACAGATGTTCATGGGAAAGGCATGGGAAGAGCTGCCAGGGAGCATGAGATGCCACTCGGGGGGAGACTCATGTTTTTCTGTCTGTAAATGATAGCGGGATCCAGCAGAGAAGGAGTAGGGGAAGACACAGCCTGTCCATCTGCTTACCAGAGTGAACATGGGTCCCTCTGTCACTGTTCCCCATTTTCCTCGCCGCTTTCCTCAATCCCCTGCTAATCTTATCTATGATGTCTGTGAAGATGAAGTGGCACTGAAAGGCCATTTAAATCATCCTGTCATTGCTGAGCCCCTCCATGCTGCTGCCTCCTTATCACCCAGAGATTTTATTAAAGTTAGAAACCTTCTAGGAGCAAGCAACCATCCCCAGGAGCGGCAGGACCATTGAGAGCAGCAGGCCCTTCACCACACACTAACACAGCAGCCTCAGCCTGGCACCCATCCCTGTCCCTCCCTGCCATCAGAGGGGTGCCTGTTCCACAGCAAAGTGCAGAACAAGCAATTAAAAGACCACAGTGATCAATCATCCTTACCACGTCATCAGCTGCAGCTACAGCAGCAAACAGGCAACCCTCCTCATAAGCAGAGGTGGTGAAAAAGGTAACGGGGATAGAAAAGACAGCACGTCCTGCAGCTATGGACTGCTTCAAAGAAACAGCAGCAAACAGGCAACCCTCCCCATAAGCAGAGGTGGTGAAAAAGGTAATGGGGATAGAAAAGACAGCATGTCCTGCAGCTATGGACTGCTTCAAAGACAGCAGACTACCCCTCTGTGCCATGGTAATGGCACAGGCTGGGAAAATCCAACAGTGGAGCAGGTTGCTCAGAGAGGTTGTATAGCCTCCACCCCGCACAGGATAAAGCCTTGAGTGACCTGGCGTGAGCTCCAAGCTGAGCCTGCTTGAGCAGGAGGTTGCACTGAAGACCTCTTGAGGTCCCTTCCAGGCAGAGATATCCTACAGTCCTGCAAAAGCTCCTCTTAATACCTGCAGCACCTCCACAACAGCACACGTTGGAACACACAAAATGGAATGAGGACACAGAAAAAGAAAAATTAAAAAACAAAAGGTAAGCATTTTCCTTCCTAAAATTGTCATCCTTTTCCTAGGCCCTCACATCATCGTGAGCAGGAACACGTACCGCTGCTGACGGGCTTGTTCGCTGGATGAGACACAGCTATTCTAAACACCTGTAGCATCCACGAGCTCTGGAGCTGGTAATGTGCTTGGCATGGTGCTGTGCTTGCATACTGGCACCAAGATTATTATTATTACTGACAATGCACATGTCACTGTGTTTGTGCACGTATTCGCAGCTATAGGTCTGCTCGTTTGTGCCCATATGTTTTTTGGAGTATTTGGAGTGTTTGCAGGTTCCTCTAGCCAGGGAAGATGAGTGGCAGCACATCATTTACTAAATGAATCACAAGCCAACATGAAAGTGTGTTTTTTTTTTCTTTTGAATATTCATGGGACTAAGATTCTTGAAAAGCTTGTGGAATGCCATCTACAAACACCAGATTTCCCATAGACGCTGACCCCTGTGTTACTTTTTCCAGCAGTGTCCCATCACTAGTGACATTGACTCCATCCTTACCGAGAAGTCCACCAGAAAAATAGTCTGTAATACAAGGAATTTACTTCGGAAGAATGTAGTTAGGCAATTTGAGGAAACATGAAAATTTGCTACTCAGAGAAAAAGAGGAATTCAGCATGCACTTGGGCTGTTTAAGACCTTGGGGTGAAGGTGCATAGCAAATTAGACAAAAGGTTGCAATGATTTATGGAAGCACAGACCAAAGTAAACAGCCAGGCATTCTGTTATGACACAGAGAGGTCATGGTTCCTTTCCCTGTTTAGCATCCAGCACAACGAAGCCCTTCCCATTACCGGGGTCTCCTAGAACTGCTCTGCAGCACATGATAAAAAATAATAATCACCCTTGGAATCCTGCATTCACTTCAAGACACCTCATTAACAGAGAGATGCAGACAACATCGAGTGAGTTCAGAGAAAGCAAATAAATGAGCAGGATGCAGAAGAATTTATTTAGGAAAAAGATAAGAGCTAAAATGCCAGAAGCAGGCTAAGGAATGGCAGAGGAGGGACAGTCTACCAATATTAAAAGGTTTGAATACCAAAGAAACAGGGATAACCGAGCATGTCAAGAAATACTACTAGGCAAAAGGCGGTGTAATTAAGAATGGGTTAATTTGGACTTAATATACAGGAAAAAAATCACATGCTAGTGAGCAAGATTGCTGAGCTTGTTATGCAAGGATTATACCAGATTCTGGCTTTGGCCAGGGGTTTGTCTTTTCCTTTTGCCAGAAAGTGTCTTATTGCCTAAAACAGGTTCAATGTGTCTGTCGATCAGAGACATCTGAACGTGAAGACTCCAGTCACCAAGTGAGCCTGTGGCCTCAATGCAAACAGCAGCCTGCAGTTGCCATATGATCTGACATCACCATGTCACTGTGCCAGGCAAACTGTGTGTTTTCAACACAATGTTTTCATTTCAGTTAGGAAATATATGGATCACCAGGGAGAAAATGTAGCTGAGGAATCAGCAAACGAGTAGATGAAGAGAAGGAGAATCAGCAGCCTTAGCAATGGCTGTAACGCAATGTGATGACAGATATAGACACAACAACCTGACTTTGTGTAAGTCTTAATTAAAATAAACACATAAAATCTGTTTTATGTACACAATATGGCAAGGACTCTACATGTCACAAACTATCCTACATGAGTTACATGCCAATATAGAAGAAAATAAGAGTACAGACACTGAGGATCGCTAGCATTCAGTATCATACAGTCTCTCCATAAACCGATCAAGTTCACCAGAAATGAGGAACAAAGTGAAAACACGATTTTGGAGCCTGTTCCAAAAATTCACACCTTACATGGTTCCTTTCCCTGAACTACAATTTAATTTTACTGATGTCCAGTTTAAATCCCTTAGTTCCTCTGCTAATATAATCCTTGGGTTTAGCTATTCCCTTCCCTCTCGGGTGTTTACTACTTTAGTCTGTTCATCAGTAAGACAATTACCAGTATAAACACAGCATAAACACCACCCTATTTCTATAGGATGCACCTTTATCTACTCTGTACTAGGAGTTGACAGTCTTCTAAGCTGAAAACTCACATTTACTGAGTGATTGACTAATGAATTCCCAGCATTTTAAGAAAATATTCTTATTACGTTTTTAAGTACATGACTTTTTATTTGGTATTGCTCATTTTTATAGGTTTCTATCATTCCAATCCTCAAGGCCGCCAAGGACCCTGGCACTCCTCTCACTTTGGTGTCATCAACAATGTCCTTCATACAGTCCTGTTTTATTTTGAGGTCATTAATGAAATTATTAGATAGGATCACTTTGAATAGCAAACCTCACAGAAACCCACAATGTTTCCACCACTGCCTCTATCACTTTCACTTTACAATTTCCCTCCTAATCCCCAGTTGACTCATCCTCAGTGTATCAGCTCTTTTACTGACAAGACCTACTGCATTTCTGTCACCTAATTCGGAGAATCCCAAGCTGCACTACAACGACCAGCAGTCAAGTATTTCTTTTTGTACATGCACATAGCCAGAAATTGTTGCTGCTGTCCCTGTGGCCCAGCACAGCTGGGATGGTTTTGGTTACCAGTTATCCTCACATGATCCCCTGTGAGCTGCTTTTGGTAAACCCACATTACATTCCCAGGCATGTAACCTCATAGCAGCCAACCTGCAGGCACGTGCCAGCCCCTGTATGCAATCCACCTCTAGCAAATCAGCACACCCGGGTGACGGAGCCACCCAACAGGAAAGCACTGCAAAGCCTTTCAAAATTAATGCCTTTGCAAACAGCATGCTGATATGCATAGTTAATCCACAAGCTCTCAGAGACAAATAAGCATGTGAGCCTATGAATAGCATTGCTGCAACAAGCTGCCACACGTACCATGTTCATGGGCAGCTGTAATGTCAGAAACAGGCTTGGATCATCCAGGTGAAGTCACTGACTCCTCCAAGGCCTGTGAGCAAACCGCAGCAGTCCTGTCTTCAACTGACACAGCCAAGAAAGAGATCCTGAGACATGGTCACTGCAGGGCTCATCTCACCACCTCTGCCTGGGCAATAGCCCAGTTTCAACTGGGACTTGTTTCATCCTTTCCTGCCCAGTCTTCATTTGTGACTGTCTCTTCAGATTAGGAGCAAATACTAGTTGCTGGCCTTAATTTGGCTGTAATATTTGCCAATTATTTTAAGAGATGGCGACAGTAACTTCTATTGATCTCATTAAAAGTAAAGGTCGTTGTGCAGCTCATTTCTCAGGGCTCAATATTACCTCCTCAGGCCAAAAGAATAGCATTGATTTGGAATCTTAATCGAAGGTTAATTGGATTGAAGAGTGTGTTGGGTTTTTGTTTTCTTTTTTTTGTATGTATTGTGGCAATTGTCTAAGGGTTTGTTTAATCCTGCTAGTGCAGTCCAGCCCAATTTAACTGGTGTCAAATCAGCAAAGTGCATGGAATGAGCAAAGACGGAACCTGTTCTGTTTGTCTGCTCTGAAACGGCCCTTCTCCATAGCAGACTGGGATGGTCACACACAAGCAATCCAATTTCACATTTTGCCTTCTATGATCCAGTTGTAAGGATCAAAAAGAAGTGCCTGTGCACTGATCTAGCATCACACCAAGGTGATGACTGGGCACATAAGAGTAGTTCCTAGGACTTCTGGAGTAAACTCCTAGCATGCCCCACACACACTACTGGGGCCTAAGGAAATTATTTTCCTACTCAGTATCCCATCTTCCATGTGGGGAGAAAGATTCTGACTCATCTGTCCAGGGAAATGAGAGACTGACTTCAGATGTTTCCATAAAATCTCAAAAGGAAGTAGCTAGAGAAGACCAGTTATTATTTATTTTCCTAGCTTTTTTCTCCGTCAGAGCTGAAATGAATGTGAACAGAGCTGAACGATTATGCTTCCTTGGCTTTAAATACAGTCATATTTCCTTGGATTTCATGTAAAGCATTGTTGGGACTTTTGAGCAATTCACTGACACTGACACCCAAGACTGACTTTCAGTACGAAAAGAGTTCATGTCTAATTTAACTCTTCATCTCATGTCTTTGCATAGCTTAGGAGTGAATATGCTAGACCACCATCCTTGCTTACCAGTGCCTTGTGAATTTTCATTAAGTTTCAGATAAGAGGAAATTTAGGAGAATATGCAAAGAAATTGCTCTCATGACTAAATGGGAAGATATAAAGAGCAAGAATAGCCATTTACTCTAGGAAAAATGTTCTTTTCCATAAACAATTTCAGCTAAAACTTCAGTTTTATAAGCACAAATGCTTGAGATATGAGAGGTTTCCACACCTGCAATAGCTGAGAAAAGATCCCACTCTGGCAAATCACACTGAAGTTTTAGTAGCTCATGGGCCTCTAACCCCACACTGAAACCACATCTCAAGTTACCAAGTTGCAACAATCAAAAGGCAGCTGGGCTCTTTATCAAGCTGAGAAAAAAGCAAAAAGATATTGTTCTGCTGTCAGTCTCATGTCGCAACAAATGTAAGCAAAACCTTAGAGTAGGTCAAGGTGATGGGCAGCCTTAGTAGCATACAGGAGCTCATCTTGGGCACCTTAGCAGATTGCTTTCACTTCTCAGTTGGACAAAGTACTTCCTTGACTTCTGAACCATGCACAGCGCATGACCCAGGTTCTTCGGGAGCCCACAGCACCATTTCCATTGCCCGATTCCAGCTCAGGTCAGGATGATCAAAGCAGGGCCTGTACACTGGGCTGTCTGAGGCAGGCTGGTTAGCAGGAGGCACCACAGCACACGCTGCGGACGCGCTGCCAAGCCCCAGGGCTCCCACGGCCGCTGACCCAGCCGCTCCGTGGGGCGGGCAGAGCATCCACCAAGGGGACGGGGAGGGCCCATGCAGCATATCAGAGACAATGCTAAGATCTGTATATGGGCAAGGTCTCTCTAAATGGATCGGTTAAAATCAGAATGGGTGCAACAGGGGTATCTGTGCTATTTGGGGTCTTCTTTAGAAATCCATGTGCTAAGTAGCCTTGCCCTTCTTCTTTCCTCTCTCTTGAAACCAGGGTGTTATAAACACCCCGAGAGCCCCTAGGCCTTTATTTTTCCTTCCTTCCCTGCTCCCCGTTGCCACCTCCCTAGACTCCATATACATCTTGCCAATAAAGGCTATAAATGCTCCTGTGTCTTGAAACAGGAACAGCCTAGCTTCCAGGTGGCCCCTTTCTTAACCCTTCCATGTTCTCGTTTTCCCTCAAAATTCACTGCCAGCTCATTTCTTTACTGCTTCCCTCTCCAGGCTTCCCTCCCATTGCCAGTACCCCAGCTGCACTCTCATCCTCAGCTACACTTGCACATGAATAAGTAACTGTTCCACAGGCAGATATTTCAGTGTTTGCACTTGTCTTTGGAAATCAAAGCCTTCTCTGATTAAATGCCATTACAGTCCAGCGCTCGGACGGATCCAGAGAGATTAATGTGCTTTTGGGCAGCTTTAATGATAATCCCGCTACAGATGGTATTAAGTAAATGTCAGTAACCTGGTTTGAAGGGAGCTTTCACCTCAGGGATCCTTTCCATTTAGAAGAGAGAGGCTCAGCTTGCTTTTCAAGGCTGCATTGTCACACAAGAGAAATCCTGCTTAGAGAAGACTCTCCTTCCTCCACCCAGTAAAACAAAATGGAGTAAGATGATAGAGGGGTTGATAGATAGATATATTGAGGTGATTTATAAAGAGTTAATGCAGCTCTTGAAACTGCTCTGTATTATAAATCATATCATAGTTTTGAAATCTGGAGTGCCACCCCATGCTTACACTCCCTTGGCGGCTGTTGTCTTTTGCTCTCTTTGCCCCCTTGCCAAGCAGGTCCTTACCCCGGCACCAACAGCAGCAGCCAACAACAGATCTTGGTCATAGCTGTCCCCAGCTGCTGCACCTCACCAGAGGAGTAGAGGACTCTAGGATGTGCACTGCTCCCACCTCATCTTGCTGTGGCCACAGCAGTCCTTGCACCGCATCATATGCCTCTGTAAAACTGGGTACCAGCTGCTTGGCACCACTATGTTATTAGCAATTAGTAAAAGCTAATCATTAATTGCAGCGGGGAGAGGAGTAAGGGAGAGAAAAGGAAGAAAGGACAACTCTGTTCAGGCACTGTGGCAATTTGTACAAACGTCTAGTCCTGCCACTGTGCTGCAGTAACATCCTATAGCTGCCAGGTTGCCAGAAACCTGTGAAGTTTATTCTTGAGAGTAGTAAAGCTCTGTTGACAACATCTTTTTAAATCACATCTTTGCCATCATTTGGGGACTGGCTCAGAATCAGCACAATAAGCGATTTCACTGCTGCATGGGATCTGCTGTGCCAAGGCAAAGAATAAGAGCCTTCTCAAAAGGGTGGATGAAAAAAATGAGCTAAAATTTTATCCTAAACCTTTCCTCCCATGAAGAAAAGCTTCTGCAAGCTAGAAAAACTGTAATTAGCTGCTTCTCTGCTTTATTTTGTCACATACTAGCACCAAAATACCCCATTAAAAGGTTGTAGTCATTGAGTTCTCCACCCTGACTGGCTGGAGAGATCCCGGGAAGACGGTAAAGACTGCACTTCCCTGAGCTCTTCCAGACAACTTCACGGCTTCTAGTAGTTTGACAATACTCAGAGAGGCAAGCAAAATATCAGGGAGCAGCACTGTGCTGGCTACCTAGATCTCCAGATCGGAGATGGACTCCAAGAACTTTGAGGAAACCCAGCTCAAAACCGGAATGTAAATACTACTCAAGAGCCCTCCTGCTAATGCATGAAATCAAGCCTTTCCAACTGACTTTTTCAAGATTTGAGCAATGTTCAGTTTTGTACCTCAGTGATGTGCGTTGGTTTCAACCTCTGCCCTTATACAAGGAAAAAGTGATTTGCACAAGACACATGCATTGAAAGGAGAAGAAAGGTTTTCTGGCTTTTGACCAGTTGTTTTGTTCAGATGAACAGAGCTGAGTAAGGGTTCTCCTCTGGCCCAGCATTGAGGCACTTCAATGCAGAAATACATGAAAAGATGACTGCCTTCCCACCTGTATAAATGACCAGAAAATGTCTCACTGGCTTCTGCTGGATGCAAAAGCAGAAGAGATGGCCTATGCAGAGAAAGAGCAGGTTGCTCAGTCCTCCACCTGTAATTTGACTAAGTAGTTTAGTCAGAGAAGGACCTTCGCAATGTCTGATGGAGGCAGCTGAGAATATAGAACATGTTCTTTCTTTGTGTGGCATACCCTGCTCACATCTTCCTCTCCAAGAGGTCTTTTTCATGCCTTTTTCTGATGCTATATGAACTTAATCATGGATAGAAAGGGAGTATCCCTTGGTACTCCCTTTCTATCCATGAGCGGAAGGAAGACAGGGAGAGAGGACACGTCCAGACCTCAGAGTAAAGCAGATGGATGGATTAAGTAAAACTGATTTTATGCCATAGCTCTTTGATGGCCAGTCAACCTAGTGTACCTTTGAGGCTCATCAATAGGGCACAGAGGGAAAGGCAAGCAGCACTGACTCCATCCGTGCTCACTGACCAGGAGGGGTGGTTTAACACATTGTTTAATGGTTCGAAACCCTTTCCTCAGGCATCTTCTCATCCCTTGCACAAGGCAATACCTTCCTTTCCTCAAGAATCTCTCGGACACAGAGAATCTAAAGTGCTCTCCTGACTTTGCACCACACAGTAATTATCTCACTCATCAAGGAAATGTAGCTTCCACAGAGATGGAATCTGGCAGCTGTTCAAGGAAAGCAAAACTACATGGTAATATTGGATCAGGAAGCAAGGAAGAAAACTGTATCCAGTTGTATTCTGAAGAAAGAGGGAGATTTGGGAAAGCAAAGAACAAGTCAGGTTAGAACACATGCAACACACCACAGCTGAGATTCCAGCACTCTAGTAACTGTGATCCTACAAGGCCTCTGATTTGTATCTCCTTCATAAGATGATAGCTTTTGAGATACAAAAGCTAAATCTCATGCATTTCCCCAGGAGAAAAGGAATACCAGATAATCAGAACTTAAAACTATTCCTTTAGGACGCAAAGAACTGCCATCTTGAAGCAAACCATGAGTGTATGTAATATAAGGGCACTGCCATCACTTACTGTCTGTCTCCTTGAAGATCTGTCCAGCTCTGCAATTTTACAGGAGAGGCTTCCACAAAAGAGGTCATATACTTAAGCATGAGTGCGTATCTGCATGTGGTCCCCTTCCTTCCCCGTCAACCTCAGTGTCTCAATGACAGTTGCACTGCCCACCATATATGCCCAGTTCAGAGACCGCTGAGAAACTACCTCGTTGACGTTGATGCCATTCCTCTTCATGTAGGCCCTATCGTTCACTTGTCCCCCTTCCATAAACTCCATGAGGAGTACACGCCTTGTTGAGAGCTCCCAGTAGATCCTGGGGACCTGCAAGAGGAAAACAAGGTGTAAGTCAAAAAACAGCTTGGGAAAGGAAGGAGAACACATCACATACAACCCAAGAAGAGAGTAAAAAGGAGCATTCTAAAAGAGGTGGAAGTGAGGACCTGTTTGTTTGTTTTCTTGAGGAAAACCCACCTGTTGATGCTGAAACCTGCAGGCCTCTCTCCTAAAGAGCACCAGTGAGTGCAAAGACAACACACTGACACAGCAGCAGCAAGAACTGTGCTCATGCAATCTCTGGCCCCACTTTACAAGACTTCGATGACTTCTCACTCCCACTGAGATCTAAGACTTTTCTTAGGCACTTTGCAGCTTCTGTAGCTGAGATCTTTAACTGGTAAGCTTGGAAGTTTCTGAATCACCCACTGAGCTGCTAAGACAGGAACCACATCTCCTGTTTGCTACGCACAGGCCCCACTTTTGCAACTCTGAAAATGATAAGACATTGTCATAAATTGTATCTCAGCTGTGCTCCTTAGAACACAAACGCATTTGAGCTGACAAACCCTGCATACTTAGGCCATCTGCAATTGAACTGGGAGAAAAATCAAGTGTCACAAATAAGGGGCTTGTCATAGAAACCCTGGGAGACCCTTGAATATCTTATTGCCAATGTGACACAGTAACCAGTGTAAAATGTCAAAGCACTCTCATTCAATCTGCAGTAAATCAAGCTGTGTGAGTGAGGTATAAGTAAGAGGCCCAGTGTCACAGAGGGAGGCAGTGATGCAGCATAAGATGAGCCTTAGCCCAGGCTGACTCATTTTTCAGCCTGTCTCCAGCCTAATTCTTTCTCTGATGAAGTTCCTCCTGTGAAAGAAGTCATTTTGCTATAGTTCCTTTTTGGTGTTCCTCACATCATGGTTCTGCCAGATCTCCCAAGCTTGCAGATCCAGATTTGCCTTCACTGAAGGGCGAAGCCACATATGTAGCTGTTACCAAGGACCTCCAGCAATAGCCATTAATGTGGCCCAACACATTTTGGATCCTGTGAAGAAAGCCAGCTGTGCAGTCTACTCTCCTCACTCAATTTGGCCATATACTCAGGATTCACATTTTGCAAGGGCCCAGCACCTTGGGGCAGGTCAGGAAGAGGGATGTTTTCCATCTAGTGCAGCCAAAGTCAGAGGAACCAGCCAGGTCACTGCAGGTACCACAACTCCACAACCAGCTGCACTTGTTTTATATTCTATTTGAAACTACTCGACAGTGTTTCAGCTCCTCATAGCTCCACAGACCATCTGCCACCCGCACTGTTCCTATCCTAGAGAAACCATTTTCCCAATCTCACTTCTACCTGATCACACATATGCCAATTTAGATCAAAGAGTCCTTTGCAGATTAGTTCCTGTGACCCCCAGTTCTGCCATTCAACATTCAAGCACACCTTGCACATTAACCTGTGAAGACTTTAATGCCAAACATCTGCTAGATGCAATGGGGATTCAGTACCTGCAGCTTTCCCAACCAACCCAGATTTCCATTCTTGGCAAAGTTAGATGGGTAAGAAATCAACCAACTTCAAAACTCATAGTTCCCCGGCCCTTTTAGCTGCCTGCTAGGCTTGATGATCCCTACACCGTAGATCATTTCAACTGACGCTCATTCCCGTCTCCAGATTTACAGGGGCAAGTCAGTGAGCTTACAAAGCACTGTGCATGCTCTTGGAGATGTTTCTCTCACCCACACACAAATTCTTTGGTGATTTTTTTAATTACTCACAGATGTTTGGCTGCAATGCAAGTGCCTAGAAACAATTTATCTCTGGTTTTAAAAGCTCAACTGGGTTCACAGCACAAAATCCACTTCTCAGCTTTCTTGTGTGTTTAGGAAAATTAATGATACAGGAACCCAATTCTTCCATTGCCTTTGGGTGATGAACACGTCTCTGAATTGGCAGGTTAGACGGGAGAATCCATTATTTAGCCATCTCAAGCCATTTGTTATTGTTACACATATTGATATCATGATAGCTCCTTAACCCAGCAAGGAGATGATTGGCCGTCTCCATGGGGATTTACTTCACAGTATCCTAGTTACAGCTGCAATGGATACAGCTCTCCAAGGTGCATCACTTTTGATAAGCGCCCACTCAACAAAATCATTGACCTTTGGCTTTCTGTTGCTCTGCTGGCCTTTAGCCATCTGTGTTTAGGGAAAGGCTGTTGGTGCCCCCAGGCACCAGAAGGACTGTCCCAAATGTAGAGGTAGCTGACAAGAAATCAGAACCCTTGCATGGAGGATCCAGGGAGAAAAGTGATGCATCAGGCTGCAAAATCTAAAGAAAACTCACTTGACCTCAGATATCTATCACTTTCATCTTGGGATTTTTGAATAAACAGGAGAAATAGGACAGTTGAAAATGTCATTTTGATGTGTGAATGCAGGAGGGTACATAGGAGGGCATATTTTTTGCTGCCTTTGTGTACATGCAAACACAGTTACATCAGTGATTATGCCAAGAGCAATGCATGTGCTTGATCATACCTGCATATTTCCAGAATGCACACAGCAAGGGTTTATGCCTGTTGTGAGTATGCCAGCCAGGGACATAAATGAGTGAGTTTAAAGCCGTGCATACCTACTGCAGAGAAGACAATGTGGACATGACAGGTCTGCCAGTGACCTTCTGGCAGTGTGTGACAGGGGAGGTGGGCAAGTCTATCACTTGGGGAAGATCACAATATGGGTGCAACTGAGTTTGTATGGGAGGGTAACATGAGTTCATTAGCCATGGGTATATATATTTATATATATAGGTATGCAAGTGGTATACTTACTTTCAGTGTGAGAAGGTGCTTTTTTATGCAGGAGGGAAGATTTTTAGAAATATGCTTCCTCCTGAAATATGCAGTGTGCTGAATCTGCTTCACATAATTATCTCCAGTCCAGCTTTTCTATTTTATGCCCATTTTTGCCCTCAGTTGAGATAAAGCCAAGGAAAAGGTACTCTCACATGGCTCAGTAAAGAACAGCAAATTCATATGACTCGGAACAATGTCAGAAACAGTGTTCAGGGAAATGAGTAGCAAGCTTAAGAAACTGCTGGCCTCGAGCCACTATCCTTATCCAACACATGGTGCCTACAGGAGGGAACAGACAACGAGGGAAGCGTCTCTCAGAGCAGCTTCTGGCCCTTACCAGCAGAGCAGTCTAGGGTAAATAACACAAATGGACTGAACCTCCCTCTCCCTCTCCCTTTCCCTCTCCTTCTCACTCTCTCTCCCCATCATCTCACTCTCCCCCTCCTTCAGTTTGGTTCTTTCAGGTAAGGAACAAGGTGCATCAAGAGCATAAAGTGAGGCTATTAATTTATATACATACACATGTGCTCCCTCACCTTTAGGAAGTCAAAGTCCTTGAGCATATGAGCTACCTTCTCAGCATTTCTGCCCTCATTGAGAAAATCCAGCTCCAGAGGCAGATTCTTCTTAGCTTCTTCTACAAGCCACATGAACTCAAAATCTGGAAAAATCTGTTTCACAACCAAGAGGAGAACCTGACATCAAGAAAACAGATGGTTAGCCACATCCTAGCTCCAAAGCCATGCAGCTATATGCAGTGCTGTGCTGTGCTGGTGATTACACAGGACAGACACTGTTTAGGTAGGTTGTAACTTGAAGAAAAAAAAAGATGAAAAAAAGATGAAAAAAGAAAGAAAAAAAAAAGTACCCCAAGAGCTTGCAAATAAGGATTCCTGTAGCATCATGATAAAACATATGCCTTGCTCTTACAACAAATTTGGGGCTTGCCTTCCACACAGACACATCCAGAAAGTAATTGGTACAACTGACACCAAAAGTCAGTGCTGGCAGCCCAGCTGCCCAATGCCTCAAAGTGATAGAAAAATCCTTGGAGAAAAGAGGATGCCAAGGGGATGGCCCAAGAGCAATTCTCTTCCGCATCTCTAACACCTGTATTTCAGTAAGTCATCATTTGGTTCCATTTGAATAGCCTTCAAATAATAAGGAAGACCTAAAATAAGGCCTGTCACTTTTTCCACTGCCAAGCAAGAAGAATTTTGCTAGCCCAGGTAAATCCACTGAGCAGTTCAGAGAGGACTAAGGTTCAGCTGCAGGTATAAGGCTCTTGACACCTGAAAGAGACTAGGGGGCAGAGAGCCAGCTGCCCTTCAGTGTGACTCACAGCCATCCACAGCTGCCCTGAGTGGTGGTTTTTAATTATGGAAAGGTGGCACTGTGAGGTTTTCACCTGCACCCTCTTCTCAATTAGGCATTCAGCCCAACAGTGTCTTGAAAAGCCCAGTTGAAAAGTTCAGAGCGATGTTTCTTTGCAGCTGCATTTAATAAAGGGGTGGGTGATGGGCACTCCTGAAGGAAATCAGCATTATTTGATGGGGTGACATAATCAAAGCTGCACAGCAGCCAAGCCTTCTGTTCAAATGAAGGGCCAGATTCTCAGCTGGTGTCACAAATATGCACTGGCTGAAAATCTGGATCACATATTACAGAAAATACATATTTTTTTAATTGCTTGAATCATAAAACAAGAATGAAGCATAAAAAATTCAATCTACATTGTGGTGTTTATCTTACTTGTTCTGTGCTTCCATTTGAAAATGAAAACAGTCTTGTCTGTGTGTGTTCCTAGACAGCTTCTCTTTCTAGATCAGCACCTTTGAGATGGGGATTCCTGCACAGCAGGGGAAACATTTAAAACACACACAGAGAAAGCTGTTATCATTGAAATGTATGACAAAAAATAAATTCATGAACCATCATTGCCTCCTGGTTCCTATGTGAAAATATTTATTCTCAACCCCATCTCTGCTTTTCTTATCTAAATGTCAGTTCCAAACCCAATATTCCTTTAAAAGTGTAATCACCAGGCTCCAGATGCTACTGAATGATTTTTCTTCTATTATATCTAGAGCCATAAATCCTTTCAAATTTATGTCATCCAAATGAAATGTAACTAGTGATTTTCATGAACGTGTGTGTAAACTTCACAGGGCTGTAGGACTATCTCATTGGTGCTTGATGCAAGAAAATTCATGCTTTTTTCTGCTTTTTTTTAGATGTTCTTTTGAATTAATTTGCCAATTTCAATATCTGCAAAGACATACTTAATGAATCTTTGGTCTGCCCCTTTTCTGACACCTGTCTAAAACATCATCCTGAAATAAGTATTGATATAAGGAGAGCAGGGAGGGATCCCTCTCCAGGTGCTGTCCTAATTTTTAAGGACTCAGCCCTGATGCTATGAAACCTCAATTTTCCATCTAGCTTTTCCTATTCAGATTCCTTCCCACTAGTCTGTAAAGAAGACCACTTCAATCAATAATTAAATTAACCTACTTACTTGGAATGTCTGCCTGCTTCTTACAGGACCTGAAGCTAAGTAGACATAATCTGGCTTTAAATGCAGCCTACACAAAATAAGCCTCACACAAGGTTACAAGGATGCACGTAAGCCAACACTCCACAAGAGACCCTTTAAAAACAAGACAGCATGTGCCAGCTTCTGTTATCTGGTCCTGAGCAAAACTGAAGGATGCCAAAACCCTCTTGAGAAGTGCCATGCATGTGATGATGTGTGTGATGGTACAGAAGCAAATTCATCACATAGACCATCGAAGTCAGCCCTGGAAAGGACCTGAATCAAATCCAAACCTACAGCTTCACCCAGAGCCAGTTCAAACAGTTATCTATTCACAAACCAGAAGTGAAACAGAAGTGTTACTGACACATCTTTGCTGAACCCCAGAAAGGTATCTGACTACCATTCAGCTAAAAATGATATGTTCTAGGTGGAAACCCTTCAGTAGCGGGATTGCTAGAACTTGAGCAGCTCTGGTCATCCCACCACACAAACCCCTGGGATGCTGTCCTGATTCGCAGGCTAGCCAGATTGCTCACAGTGAGTAGTTTTAGTCTACTTGCTCCATTGATAGTGGGCTGACAGGATCTTTGATATGTTTATCTCCTGTGATGGACAGCTGTGCTTCACTGCATCAGCTCTGCACTCTAAATGTTTATCAGACCTCCTGAGCTTCATCTTCCCCACTCTGATCCCATGGGCACTGCTGTTTGCCAACAAATATGCATATTACTGTACATTGATGCTATACATAAAGATATAGGATTGCTAAAAGGGCTTAAAGCATTAAGATTTACAGGCCTAATACTTCTCCCCTCTTCCACCTCATCCCAGTCTCTATTTCCCAGCCTCTGCCCCTGCCAGCGTAGAGCAGTGCTAGAACTTTTTGCCAGTTCCTCCTACTCATGTACTATATTTCAGAAATTTGGGTGAAGCTACAGCATTGCACTGGGAACATGAGTGGTATCTACCATTGAGGATGGGAACAGGAAACAGGCACTGACTTTTTTTTTCCCAATGGAATCACTCATTTGTTTGCCCGTCCCTGTCGCAGTACCCTTCCCATATTTCCATGTTCTCTTCATCATCATGAATCTGCCCAGCATTAAGGAACTGATCAAGAACCAGAATGGAATCACAGCACTTCAGCAGCTGCTGAATTCATATTGCAACTAAACAGAAAAGCATGCTGAACATGGAGAACAAGTTTTGCTCAGTCATACAGGTCTGCCTGCAGTGGGAGCTGAGACCAGTTATGGTCAACAACTTAATGGGCATACAGTCAATGGAGAGACTTTAGGACTCGATCCCTAATTTTTACGTCTCATATGAATTTACTCTTATGTCTCTCATAATTACTTGTCTCTCCTCCACTCTCACCCCCTGACTTTCTTGTTTCTCCACCCCTGCAGCTGCTCATTCCAGTCTCTCCAATCACACATCACTCCCTCACTGCAAACCTCACCAATTTTCTTTATTATTCCTGTAAGCCAGCAGTTATCTCAGTGGAGATTTCAGGGCTGCAGGATGCAGGTCACTGTGCCCAGATGTCAGTGTTATTATGCCTACCTACATCTTGGGTGAATTTGGCCCCTCACATGTTTGCACAGCAATTGCTCTGTAAGACAGTCATTAGGTAGTTTTACCTCCATCAGCAGAATATCCTTGGAGCTCTGAGTTTGGACCTTTGGGTGCTGGACTTTCACTGCCACTGTCCTTCCATCCTGCAGCACTGCCTTGTGGACCTGGGCTAGCGATGCTGCTCCCAAGGGAGTGTCCTCAAAGCTCACAAAGAGCTCTTCAATCTGTCAGGAAAAGAAAAGGAAATGTCAGTATCCAGAACTGGGCTAAGGAAACCCCTGCTTACAGGCCAGGGACAACACATGTCAAAGCTGGGCAGGCTCAGCCCCTCCATCCTCCGTCTCCCTCCCAGTGCCTTGTCACTGCTTGGCCTCCCAGTCAAGTCTGCCACACAGGGAAGTGCCCTTGGGGATACTGTGCTTGCAGAAGTCTGTGCCAGAGCCCCCAAAGCACATTTCACCTGAGAGATGGAACAGCCAGGCAGCGTGAGTGGCCCCTTCAGGCTGCTCTGAAGCCCAGTGGAGCAGTTATGGTCAGTGCCCCATGCCGTTTACTGGCTTTGGGACAGCTTACTCTTTCCATGTAATTCCACTGCACATTTTTAAGCCACCCACCACCAACTCCTGAATACTTGACAGTGCATATTCCAGCAGAGCATCAGCCAGCTCACAGCAAGTAGTTTAAGCACCAGAAAACCACCACGACTTGTGGTCGTGGTGAGGGCTGGACTGTATGGGGATCATCTCGGATTGCAATTTGCACTTCTAGAGACTCAGCCGGAACACATTTCTTGTGATGGGTTTTCTCATTCCTTGAACGAAGGTGACCAGTGTGCCCAGCTGATAAAAAGTATGCAGTGGACACAGCAGAGCCCACATTGTGAACAGGAGGGGAAAGCACTAGCAGCCCTGGGTGTGAAACTGGGGACTAGACTACGGGGAAAGCTGCAGATCAGGAAGCAGATTCACCAGGGGGTACCCAGGGAACAAAACGCAAATAGGTTTGGGAGAGGTGACAGGATACGGGCCGAGGCCTGTGTGCCCTGCGTAAGGCAGCGCCGTGCTGCAGCGGAGGGGCAGGCCGGCATGGCAGAGCAGGCCGCAGGCAGTGCCGCCGCGGCGGAGACGCGTCGCACACGGGGCTAGCGCGCGACACGAGCTCTGAGGTACCCAGAGGGGCAGCAAGGGGAAGCCCTCCCGCCCGCCTGCCTCAGCAGTATCAGTTTCGGGGGAGCATTTGAGAAGCCTGTAATTTATGCAGCAACAAAAAAGAAAGTCAGTCAGTGCACTTTTATAACCTGCTTTTAAAAAGGTAATTAAAGATGGGAGCTGCAGAGAGCTAGTAATTAAATATGAATAAAGCCCTTCTAAGCTGAGACTTCATGCAAAGTGTTAAACAAATATTCTTTTTGCTGACAGGGAGGAAAAACACTATACAAGGAGCAGCCCGTTCCCTCCTGCAGCTGTCAAGGCATGAGCTCCCTCCCACTCTACCCTACCCCATCCTTCCCTCACAGGCCCTTCTACGGAAAACTATTACTAGCAACAAACTGGAGCAGTCACAGCAATTAGATTCCAGCAGTC